ATAGTATCCATCAGTGCTCACTAAAGAAATGTGCACATTCCCAGATGCCACTCACCTGGGCTTTTAGGCTTTTAGTGGTTGCCAAGAGGTCACAAACTGGTCTCTGGGCCTGTGTGTGACTGGGGCTTTAAGGACTCACAGGGAAAGAGTGTAAAGCAGTGTTACTCCTCACCATCCACTCTGAATATCACTTCAGAGTTCCTGCCAACCTCTATAAACTAATATTTACATATAAATGAATCTATAAATAAGACGACTTAAGCTATCAGAGACCTTCTGGTGTACTTTAGTATACCAATGCAGCATCTATATAGAGTGTAAAAGCAGCAACACATTTGTGTAAAGACAGACTTAAAAACTTTGGCTATTGTCTGACCGTCAGTAACTTCTTTTATCTGGGTTTTTTTTAAACCCACAAACAGTGACGAGCACATGACACACTGGCCACCGCCTCAAGGCACTAAGGCAGCAGCCAACAGTCGAGACTGGGTTACAGTTTCTGCAAAGTAATCATTTCCAACTGCTGCTGATAGTGTTGCAAAGTCAAGGTTATATCAACCACAGCATCTCAGCCATGCAGTGGCAAACGGGATGCTGAATGTCAAGTTTCAAACCTCCTCTGGCATTAACACCAGCACATAAACTGCATCAGGAGCTTCATGCACTGGGTGAGCAGCTCCTCTAGATATGCAAGGAGCCCAGTACTTTTTGATACGTATTGCATATCTGACTGGAAATAATGGAATAAGAGGAAGCAGCTGCACTGGACTGGCTGGAGGCACTGTAAGCAACAGGCTGTACAGTGTCTATGTCCAAGTATTTAACTGCACCTGCTGTAAATAGTAATGGTGTCATCAAATATTAAGAATATTCTTAATATAAGCTGAACTTCATGTCAATGACCAAAATGCGGCGCTTCATAGTACACCAGTGTCTTTCTATAGCGCCTGTGTTCCAGAAACAACCATTACACAGCACATTAAACTACAGTGTCTCACTACAAGGAGTCTTTTGTCTCACCCTGCTAATCTTATTAGCTTTAACTAATGACAACGTGTATGTCAGCATTTAAATCTGTGTTCATCTGTGCTTAACACGCACTGAGAAAAATCATGAATAACCACTTATGCAGCAGGCTATATTGTGCAAGCCGTCCCATAAACTCAGCCCTCCATAGTTTATCGTATGACGACAGCACAGGGAAGAAGGGGAGAGGGCAAAGGAGTTGTGGAAGTGGAAGCCAAAATAACAAGAGCGCACGGCGGAGAGCAGGACTCCATTACTTGCTAATGGATTGTCATGCTTCAGCGTCCCCAGAAGTACGATTACACCGGCCAAAGATGGAATGAGAGATTGAGAGGCGTGAGAGAAATGAATAACCTGAGAGTGAAAGAGGAACTGAAGACAAACTGAAAGAAACGTGCGTAGTGGTTTGTCAAGTGGCTCCCTGATTAGTGGCTGTTCTGAGCTGTCACAGCTTTGGAATTACATGGGAACATCATAGTGATCTGATAAAGAGAAAGAAAGAAAGGGAAAATCAAAAAAATAAGTTTAAAAAACTTTTAAAAAAAAGAACTGAGGCTGATCCGGAAATTGGAGAGCAGGGAATGGTGGGCAGATCTGAAAGAGCAGCTTGGCAGGATGAAGAGAAAAAAAAAAAAGCAATGAGAGCTTTAGAAGATGTTTTTAAAGATGGGAGAGAGCAAGGAAAGGGAAGTAAGAGATATCCATGAAAAATAGCTCACTAGCTCGCATCCTGACAGTATGACAACAGGTCCAGCCCTTTGAGCTTAGTCACTGCATTATGAGAGAAGGCATAGCATGAGGTATTCTCTTTCATACGCATACACACTTTCCCTCACTTGCTAATAGAAAAGGTAAAGAGGGCGGGCGGAGACCTGACAGTCCATTACAGAGCACTGGCAACAAGGTTGTTGTAAAGGTACAGCAACTGCATACTGCACACCAACCAGGTTAGACAAGCCTGTCACAGAACAGCACCGTCCAGTCCCCTCCCCCTGAGTTAGCCTGCTTTGCCCCGTTTCCCTGCCTCGTCATAAATCACTAAAGGTTTACAGAAAAATCTGCTACTTTCCCACTACTTTTGTCAGTGATGACAACTGCACAGATACCCTGAATCTACACTGAGCACTGTTTTGTTATCGGATGCTGTGTGGAAGTCATAATGACTTTCATAAGCAAATGGAGTTTGTTAGGATGACAAATTAGACAAATTAGACCTACAGGTGGGTGCAACATTTTGGTGGGCTGCAGCACCTAGCACCGGAAAGACTGCACATACAGAGGAAGGACTGCACACTTTGAATGCAAATATCATGCAGTCAGTCGAAACACTAAAACTAAAATGGCGCTTGTCTTTACAAAACAAAACAAATCCACAGATTAATTGATTAATTATTGAAAATCTGCTTCAAGTAGCTATAATTATAACCCTTATAAAGCACATTATCAATCATTTTATTGCACATATTAAAAAAATAGTATGTGACAAGTAGTTTTTTGACTCTTGGTCTTGCCTTTAGGCTGATATCAGTGATTCTTGTGAATTGTGAACAGGCACATGGTCAGACAGATGTATGAGCTAAAAATCAACAATGTGAATGTGAGTTTCAATGGCCATGTATCCTTTTATAGCTACAATAATTTTCATCCTCCCATGACCCTGAACTGCATTAGCAGTGAAGAAAACCGATGGATGGAAGGATTGAAATCTTTTTGAAAACACATCGAGCGAGTTTATATAAGGTCCAAAAACATAAAACGCTTTGCAGGGTTACTGGGTTACTGGGTTCACTTGCACTTTGTAATGTCTCCTCCCAGGCTGCCTCTCTGGTGTAGCATGGAGGATTGATTAACACTAGTGCAGCAGCTGCTTGTTCCATCATGTTTCCAGTGTAATTTCAGGGTTGCTAACATACAGCTACCAAAACAAGATGATACTGCCTTTGTTACTGTCAATTCTAGCATAGATTACACAGTCACACTAGTTTGTTCAGTGTTGTGTTCGTATTCGTTTCCCCTTCAACTTGCTTTCAAGAAACTCTTCCTTACAGAGAGCTAAGCTAACCCGATGATGACATGACAGAAAGCCTGGATTTGAGTATTTCATCACTTCTTTCACATTAATGATAGCAAAATTTGAGTATTTTCTGTCATTGACACTGATGACGATCTACTGTAATACTGTTTAAAAAACAAATAAAAAAACTAACATACAAGCATTAGATTGCTTTCAGTGTCTGAAACAACAACTGGGAGATGTCCTCCGGATAAACCATGTGCTTGCAGGATTGGAAAGTACCCTGTTTAGACCTCTTCTCAAACCCCCGAGGGAAATGTTCCAACAAAACTCTGACCTTGCTGGATCTGATCATTTTCAGTCTCCAATGAGGCAGCAGAAAGGACAAAATGAAAACAGACACAGATAAAAAGCCATGTATATCAGTCAATCACACAAAACACTTATCAAGTAATCATCTGTTCCGTTTGGGTATGAGACACTGGGTGTGGCCTCTGTCACCATGGCACCAAATTCTGATACAGCCTCTGGTAAAAGCAAGTACTGCTTATCAGATAGAAGCTGAAATAGAAGCTCCTAAGTTGAGCAACTCATTAGCATTTCTTGAATCTAACCGACTGGCAGCCCAACGTAACGATGTTGTGCACAACAACCACGAGCAATGAATCAGACAGTTAAACCGCAAATTCAGTGAGCTCACAAGATGACACAGATTATGTTTGTCACTTCGCAGGAATTTACAACATGTGTGATTCTTCTTAATAAGAAACACGTATCACTTCTAAAATCTCTCCTACAACACAAATAGCACATTTCTGTGTCGAGTTGCATCATAAGACATCACTAAGTGCCAGCACGAGTTCTTAGACTCTTTACACCAAAAACCATCTCTTCAGCATAAGAGGCTGCCTGCTACATTTGCCGTACAAGCAACACCAAAAACAAACAAAAAAGGCCATTTAGATAAGAAACTGATGAATTCATGAGGCGATATCTCTACAACACCAAATCACCAGTGCAACACAATGCAACAGACATTTTCACTTGTTCTCTTACAGCTGCAATCATCTCGCCAAATATGAAGTTTTCTATGAAACAATGGGAATGGGATGGGACAGAGCCGATATTTGGACACAATCGGCTAAATTGTCACTCAAAAAGCTACATCAACTATCGCTGACAACGGGCAAATCTAAGGCGCTGGTGTCTTTAGCCACTTTTTGTTGGTCTGTGTGTGCCACGTGTCAGCAGCAGTGCACCAGCTGCTCCACACTAGTCTGTGACCTAACCACAGACTGTGGTTTAAATGAGATGACACGAATGAAAAGTTCCTCCTCTGATGCTGCTTTGTCCTCCTCTCTGTGTCATCGGGACGCTTTTATTTAGTCAGAGTCAACTCTAGTAACATTCTCATCGTTAGATCCACTCCTCACGTGAAAAGGTGCACGCAGAGCAAATAAAAAAGGAGAAGAAACTAGTGTGGCGGTAAACGACAGTAAAGATGCTTAACAAGCACAAATAAGATCAAATAAGACCTGAAGTGAAACGACTGAACTGCTGCATCACTAGTTCTGGGTAATTCAGAAAATCTGAGGCAGGACTCAGATATGCTGCTCGACGGTGAGTGTTACGGATGTTTGTGTGGCTATTTTTGCTGGTGCGACTACCATAGCAACAGTAACCAATCGTCACAAAGCAAGGTAGCTGAGCTTCAATTAAAAGTTATCAGCCAAGTTAGCTGCCTGTTAGGAAATGTGTTCATTTAGAACAGGCTGATTAGCCACTTCAGTGATCAACTTTTGATTGGCTGATACCTACACTGGCACCTCAAAAACTGGATTTTTCTCAGCTTCAAGTGCAAGCAGCACAAATAAAGTTTCAGTAAATAAAAGCAGCTTAAACAATCATATTTAGTTGGAAAATAAATGCCCAGAAAAGCGCAGTGTGTGTGCATACTCACGTAAGAAATGTTTCTCCAATAAGGCAATTTCCAAATGACCCTTGACTTCGTTGAGCCGCTCTGACTCGGACCTCTGGAAGTCCTGTATGGCTGCAGCCATAGTGGGAGACCCCGAACCAGCCTGTGCACACAGACACACACATTCATTCATGCATACATACACAGGCACGCAGGCAAACACAAACAAAAACAGAGAAACAACAAAGAAAAACAGATTTGAATTCTTATTTCCATGCACGCGACACAAAATCCACACGAGAGCACAAGCAGGGAGATCCCATATGATCTAATGCACACAGATTAGCATGGTGCAGTGACTCACAACAATGTTTCCTCTCCTGGTTCGAGTCCAGTAGGAGCGAGATAGGAGGAGGAGGGCGAAAAAGAGGAGAACCCCCCCACCTCGTCTGACTACAGCAACACTGATGACTCAAACAGCAATGACTGAGGGATACAACCCTGACACACAGGGAGAGGTGGACGAAATGTATGGCAACGACTGAGAGATGATGACTGTGTGTGAGAGAGTGAAGGGAGCGGGATGAGAAGAAAAGGGTAAGGAAAAAAAGGGGAGAGCGGGTGATGACGGAGGACAGGATGAGAGAGACGGCTGTGCTAGTGCATGATGAGCACTGCAGGTTGAGCATCGCTGCTCGACTATAGCGGGGGTCCTTTAAGAGACTCTCGCCACACAACAGACGCATACACTAACGCACACACACTGCAGCAGCTTCTCCCTGACAGCAGCCGGTGAGGCTTGCATGTGCCTGCATAGACAGACTGCAACATCTCAAGCAAGGGAGACAGAGGACGAGAGCGCAGTAGCACAAAACTGATGGTGACCTAAAAAAAAAGTGCTTTGGGAGAGAGCCAAAGTCTAACGACACCGAAGGCTGGTGAGACAGCGACGCCGCCATGGATAGCGCATCCCTGAATACAGAAGCACTTCAAAGAAAACAAATGAGAGGCTCTCCTGGAAGTGTGTCACGAAGAAGAGGGATGTTGAGTGAAAGAGAGAAAGTGAAAGAGGGCAGAGACGTAAATGAAGACAGCAGGATGAAAGAGAAAGATGAGGAGGAAATGTGAGGAGAGGACAGAGGGGCAAACAGATGTTTTTTGCTGCATTGCGAGCAACGATTCTCTTTAGTTTGGATTTTGGCGGCTTTGTTTTATGTCCTACGAGGACGCATCACTTATACACGCCTCTGATGCTTTAAGCAGGCGTCCGCGCACACTCATAATGTCCCGGTTATCAAAAGTAGGTCAAACGCTGACGTCACCCTGGACAATCATCGGCTAATTAATTATTGTGTTCCCCCTCTCTCCTTTTAATGAGCATGGGATGCGAGTTTAGGAAACCCTCCGTTTGGAAAAAAAGAGAAACTCTCAATCTCTTCTGAGAATGCACGCTGAGAAACCTGAACAGATATAACTGTGACATGCATGCAAATCACAGGAAACACCTCCATCTAATGAAATTCTCCAAGCAACAAGGTTGCTATATAAATATCAACTTGTACTTTGCATCACACCCACTCAGCCTTCAACCATTTATCTGCAACCTCAGCAAAAGACTGCATAAGGTCACGCCCTGGAATCTATTTGAAATGCAATATTAATCCAGTCTGTCTGGTATAAAACAGAAGCTAAGAGATGTTGTTGAACTCATTTACTCCATCCATATTTTGAATTTTAAATCCAA